GTAGCTGAGATGATTCATGACCCATGTGCAAAATATGAACAATAACAAACGGATATTAGATAAATTCAATGTCTAGCTGCACCAAATTAACATGTAAGTCGAATTATGCATAGTGGCGAATACCTATGGCCACTGGCTGTAATTCGATAGATTAGCTTGATTACCAATCCGGATTATCTGTACGTAAAGTAAATAATTCATAAAACGTTATTTGACAACAAAACAAATTGGTCTTACCTGACAGGGTCGTGGTACTGCGAGTTTTTCGCAGCCATTTCCATCTTTCTTTTCCAGGTAGCGAATTCTCTCTTTTCAGTGCTTTGAGGAAACTGAGGGGCGGCTTTGAAAATCGCGACTCGCAAAGGCTCACGGGAAAAACACTTTGTTGTTGTTTTCAATCTAAATCTAACATTACAGTTTGACAATATCTTTCCGCGTTATACAACAAAATAAACATACACTATACACATAAAATGTCAGCTGTGTGTTTTATAATGATTTAGGTAGTCTCGCGTGGACGTGATCCGGTCGCCATTGTTTTTATTTGTTTTACATTGCCGACATCAAAGGGGACCGTGAAAGGTGGAAATGAGCAGATTGAATGTGAGTACCCAACAGTGGGCTTGTATGGGCTTAAGGGTCTTCTCATCGCATTATGGGCACCAATTGCTCCTCCTCAGTGTCAAGCATCAACATGTGGGCCTAGAGAAGTGAATAAATCTGAAAACATATCTCACGTTACTTTAAAAGTCCTCATCGAGCTCCATGAGTCCTACTCATGAGAGATTGTGTTAGTGGCAAATAGGTGATTTTTCAAAACCCTGTCATCGGAGTAGGCAAAATACGTTCTGCTGGACGTAAAAACTTCACCAGGTAAGTAATTTACCTATTGAGCTCAAAACATGCACATGTATTAGACATGCTTATATCATGTTCATTCTTTTCAGTTCTACACGTAGATCTACGTTACATTCCCTGTATTATAACTTTACTTATCTAATTATATGTGATGTCAGCTCAATATATCTACGTGAGCGAGTTTAGTATTACGCCGCACTCGGCAATATTCCAGCTATATGGCGGTATTTATCCAATTATACTCAGTACATCTTTTATCATTTTATTACCATTAAAACAATTATAACATATACTTTACACTCATAGCTTTGTGTAATAATTTAGGTAATCAATTATTGAACCTCTTAGCCTTTACAATGCATTGACACAAGTCACGTATAACATTTCTAAAAGAATCATTGTTTCAATTATTTGGTTTACAGATACGTATTGTGGATCCACTGACTTGTTGGAGATTGACAAGAGGCTTGGCTTGGTAATCATTTATAGTTACACCATACCATGCTCCTAATTTCATTAAAGGAAATCTTAAAACAATATTTTTTTATTCATCAGCATTTAGTCAAAAACAAACAGAGTAAAACACTAAATAGATACATAGAATAAATTTCTTTATATCTTTGTGAAAATATAATCACTCAAAATGTAACAGTGCGTGGAGTTCCAAGTGTAACCATAAGTTTAACATATGTTATATATGGGATTACACACTTTCATAAGTTTGATATGTTGATATGTTTTTCAGTTCCAAGAAAAAGACCCAGTTTTTCAGTCCGCACTGCCAGTCGTTTGTTTCAAGGGAAACAAAGGAATCGTCTGGAATGGACGGCAGTTTCTCATCAGGTTAGTCCAAAATACTTCACTTCATAGGTTTCATTTAACGACTTCAGTTTGATCTATCCCATTGCTATCCATCATATATCAATAATGAATATATTTAATTATTGTAATTTGTTTGATTGGCATTTAGAAGTTGGTGACAAATAAGAAAGTAAGAGAGTTTATGGATAACAACTTCTTTATTATATATGATGCGACGTTTCGGTATGGATTCTTATACCGTTGTCGAGCAAGAGTGTAATTATTGTATACCAGATATGTAACTGTAACTGAAAGTGAATAAGTTGTGTTACACATTTTACAGTTTTAAATTAAATTAAAGGTCACATAAAAAATAATGTTACTATATTGCTGGGAATGTTTCCTTAGAGAGTTGATAAAACTAAGAAATACCCACGATTTTTCATTCATGGGAAATGTTAGGTTTTGTATGCTTTTCTCAGTTGAGTTGGTCATTTCAATTTGAATAAGATCACATATATAATTATGTGTTTACATTCAGTGTTTAAACATAATTCGTATCTATTTAAAATATGTATGTACCGTTTTACATATGCTTCGATTTCAATTGGCGATTTGGTAGTAGATGTTACCTTGAATATGAGTACAGTAACAGTAATAAATATTACAACAATTTGCTTCAGAATACTGGGTTGGCTGCTATTTTCTGGTACCAATCAATAAAATAAGTGACATGTCAAATGGAAGATACAATATACATGTATACTACATATCTTTCCTTTGTGATTGTGAAAAAAAATATTTTGGTTACATATACAAATTAGTCGTTCTAATTATATAATTTCATTGTGATCAGATGTACCACTGTGCATGTTTATGAATATGTATAAATGTGTTACTTTGGCTGTTTTGCAGTTTTACTAAGCATTGTATGTATTGTATTTGCAGGATGATGAAGAGTCTGTGTGGGATGATAAGGATGGCAACGATGTTGTGCCAGACATCAACCAGGACTCTTCATATTCACCCACAAATCTTAAGTAGAGCATACACCATCTGTTTGCGGTTGTGGACTGGTTCAAGCCTTGTTGTAATCAACTTGGTTATATTTCCCCTTTCTGTGTGGCAAAACTCAGGCTCAACTCAAGGCTCTGCGTCATATGTACCACATCAGAGGATTGTTGGCTGCTCAGTGTGAGTGCAATAGAAGCTTCATGGTTGTAAGCAAGTTGCCAAGTCTTTACTATGTGAGATTGTTAGTGTGTATATGTTAAGATACATTGAGACAGCTTCAAATGTACACTTCATGTATATGTATATGGGCCCATGACCTTTCATACAATAAACATTTGAATTTGAACTTGAAATCTGTTTTATAAATACCACAGCAAATATGTTATGCCTGCACTAGTAGACCTCATTTCATCATATGCATAAAATGTTGTAGGGTTTTGACATATTTGTATTTGCATATTCATACAGAATTTGTTTTCTCCAATGCTGAAAATTCCCTTTTGATATGGGCATGCATGCATACATACACATACATACATACATACATACATACATACATACATACATACAGACAGACAGACAGACAGACAGACAGACAGACAGACAGACAGACAGACAGACAGACAGACAGACAGACAGACAGACAGACAGACAGACAGACAGACAGACAGACAGACAGACACACACACACACACACATTGTTGAGTACTGTTGGAATGTGAGCTATTCACAATAATGAAACAGATGAATCATAACAGTGCATGTGTCACTGTGTTTGTTGTTTTTCGGGTACAATGTAATAAATTGTACATTCACAAGTTATGCAGAATGGTAGTGAGTGAGTTGCATAGTCACATCGGTAGCCATATCGTGACTATGAAAGTCGTAACTCTAAATTTGTAAATGTGTACATGAAATAAAAACAAACTTATATACTTACCTGTCTTCGAAGGACAGTAAAATAACTAATCTATCACAAATGTACACTAAAAACTGGCATGTAACCATAAACACTTTACCGGTACAGTATAAAAATGAGCTATAGATTGCCAACACCTGAAGGTTAATCAACATACTAGGGACTACGGCACGAACAGTACTTTTGCTTCCTGCATTGACCCTAACTGGATTCTGTAAACAGAAATTATCTTGCAAATGTAACAATAAGTAAATATAGTCCCCCAATGGAACAGCACAAAGCTAATTATAAGTTTGCCATTTCATCTAAGCTGAAACCAACAGAAACCTAGCGGAAACCTACATTACCCAGTATCCAATGGGTTTCCGCAATAAAAGCGGAAACAAAGTCATTTCTCTTTGAATGTTTCAGCGAACTGAAACTAAATGGAAACGCATAATGATAGTTTCAGTTGTAGAAACTTGACGGAAATCTAGATTTGTTAGTTTCAGTTTTGTAAACTATGCGGAAACTCGCATTGTCTGTTTCCGGATACTGAAACCTAGCGGAAACCTACATTACCCAGTATCCGTTAGGTTTCCGCAAAAACGGAAACTAAGTTATTTTGCTGTGCTCGAAGTTCGGATAACTCGATATTTTTACTTGGTCCCATGAATATCGAGACAATGGTGTTCGAGTGTATCATGACAAAATAATAATTTAGTCTTGATTCGACTAATTTAGAGCATCATAAAAAAATGTCGCTCTTGGGTGAAAGACAATTTGACCTGTCCGCGACAATATTTTTGAAAATGTTTTGGTGATTGTAAATGAATGAAACAGTTTATAAGCATCAACTGGCCAAGTCTACTTTGATCTTTCAACAGCTATTGTTATGAGGGTGTGATTTTTTTGTAATTTGCAGTATCACATTGATAATTATTAACGGTCACAATGTTTAAAGGTTTGAGTGTGGGTTTTGGCTCGCATTTCGAATCATGTATATTCAATGGCAATAGTATTTTTAGCGGCACGCCTTTTGGATAGCACTTCAGAGTTACCTCCCTTGGTTGGCTTTATATTGTTTTGACTTCCGTCTTGTGTTTATGGTTGTCTTCATGAATGTTCTGAGAGAATAATGATGGAGCCTAGCTTTGCTAGAATGCCCGAGAACTGTGTAAGAGCCATATCTAGGCTGGTTGTTGAGTAGTGCGCCCAGATTTTTCACATGACTGGATTTATACACATATGTGGATTTATACACATCTGTCTGCCATCATGAAGTTGTTCAACGTGCTTGTCTATTCAGCTGCTGTAAACAACCTTCAATCAGTGTATCTGCTCTCACTGTAAATGTCAAGAGTTAATATTTTATATTTGTGACCCAATATTTTAGATTTGTGACTCAATTGCATTGTATTAGAGCATGAAAATGGATGGCGCTAGAGCGTCGGGCCTATACCGGACCGTTGCGGCACTAAAGAACCCCTCGAGGGGAGTCACGCCGCAACGAGTAGGAGGGTCGCCGAGGTGAGCGTCGAAGCTTGGGGCGCGAGCCTGAGTGGAGCCTCCTCGGGTGCAGATCTTGGTGGTAGTAGCAAATATTCAGTCACGCCGCATTCTTTATAGTTTGCTCATTGTTTGTTCAATATATTATTAAATCTTTTAGAATTGTCTGTGTTCTATTTTGCTGGTTCAAAAGGGACTTTTAAAACCTTTGTCACGGCAAATTATTAACGATAACAAAATTTGGGGGCTCGTCAGGGATAGAATTCATTTGACATTTCAGACCTTTTGTGAAATTTAATTCAAATTTCTGCAATTTTGCTACAAGTTAATTGTGAAACCAGCAAAATGGTGTTTGAACTTGAGAAATTTCTTAAATCCCCTACCCCTGAGGCAATCATTGACTTGCGCAAATCAGATTTAGTGCAAATTTCTTCACATTTTAAACTTGAGGCCAAACCTGCTATGAGGAAGTTTCTGATTTGAAAATTGTGTTAAATCACTATAATGATGAGGGAGTTTTCGGACATCAAGTTTTGGAAATTTTTGAAGACGAACTAATAGGGATGGAAATAGAAACAGAAAGACAAGGAGATAGAAAGGAAATAGAATTGAGAAAAATTGGAAATTGATGAAAGTAAATAGAAACTTGACAGAGAAATTGAGTTGAAAAAGCAAGGAAACACTACTCCTGCCTCAAACCATTCTTCCTCTTTTGACATTGCAAGGCATGCCAGACTGGTACCCTTTTTAATGAGAAAGAAGTAAACAAATATTTTCTACATTTTGAAAAAGTTGCTGAAAACCTCAAGGAGCCTAAGGAGTCATGGACTATGCTACTGCAAACAATTTTGAAGGGTTAAGCTCAGGATGGTTATTCAGCCTTGTCGATACAAAGTTCAGACTATGATCTTGAAAAGGACACTTTTGAAAGCTTATGAGTTAGTGCCTGACGCTTATCTTCAGAAATTCAGAAACGTAGGTCAGGTACTTTCATGGATCATTCTTTTCATGAGGTAGAGGCTGATGACTTGTCTTCAAAGTGTAGTAACCCATCAGGTCTTCTTGATAAGTCTGATAGTTTGTCCGGTGGTGATCACATTCTTTCCAGAGAGCAGCTTATTAATGCGCATGGTGAGGATGTTGAATTGCAGAAGTTGGCTAGTAAGGCTGTTTCTTTCGAGGAGGTTAGCAAGGTTCCAGTTTGCTATTACTTCAAGGATGGTGTTCTGATGAGGAAATATAGGTTGGCGGACGTTCCCGCGAAGGATGACTGGAAATTGTATCATCACATTGTGGTACCAAAATTATTTCGAAAGCATGTACTTTCACTGGCACAGGAAATTCCCATGGCAAGTTATTTGGGTATAAACAAAACTTGTGAGAAAATTTTGTCTGTCACATTTCTTTTGGCCCAGTTCGAGACAGGGTGTGGCTGAATTTTGCAAGACCTGTCATGCATGCCAAAAAGTTGGAAAACCAAATAAAAAAACTTCCTACCACTCCTTTGAAACTTTCCATAGAGTTATCATTGATTGCGTTGGTCCACAACCTGAGACTAAGTCTGGTAATCTGTATCTTTTCACCATCATGTGTTCTTCTACGAGATTTCCTGAAACAAATCCGCTTCATAGGATTATCGCTCCTGTGACTGACAAGGCTTTGATCAAGTTCTTCACCTTCGTTGGTTTGCCAGATGTTGTTCAATCTGACCAGCCCAGGGATCTAATGCTATGTCTTAGGTGTTTCAACAAGTCATGTACCAGTCTGGTATTGAGCAGGTTAAGTCTTGTGCTTATCACGCGGAGTCACAGGGAGCTTTGGAGAGGTTTCATCAGATTTGAAGAATATGATCAAGACTTATAGTCAAACAGAGAAAAATTGGGTTGACGGTGTGCATTTGTTGCTGTTTGCTGTCAGGGAGTCTGTTCAGGAAAGTTTAGAGTTTAGTCCCTTGGAGCTTTAGTCATAGTGTCCGTAGCCCACTGAAACATCTAAAAGAGCAATAGCTCAATCACAATCCTGAGATCAAGCTTTTGGACTATGTTTCTACATTTTGGAACAGACTTTCTAAAGCATGTGAGTTGGCCAGACAGAATTTTAAAGAGTCACAAGTAAAAATGAAAGAAAATTATGACTGAAAGTCAAAAGAAATAAATTTCATTCCTGGTGAAAAAGTGTTCAAGTTGACTCACAAATCAATTAGGCATATGTTCGTCTATTTGTGTATAGAAGCAAGATGAGGCCCACTCCGTATCATTGCAAATTCATACTAATCGAAAAAATCTGTGACTTGCGGCAAGAAAGGCATAACCACGTATTGCGGTATGCACGTGATGTTGATTAGGAAAGGTCACGTGAACTACACATGAGATCTTCGTGGTGTGGTAGTTAAATATCCTTATTGTTTGTGTAAAGCCCATGGAGTGATGTTTAAGCTTATGCATGACAAGAAGAAAGATTATGTTCACGAGTGTCGACGACTTTGCAAAATATGAATATAAAAAAATATAATTTAAAAAAAAAAAATAGGGATTCGATCCTCACATAACCGTGCTCACTGGATTACGATCCAGGGGCCTTAGATAGCTTGCCAAACTATGCTCTCTGTTTACTCAAATATAACATATGTTATGGCCGCTAAACAGTATTTGAAGGCTCATATTAAATACGTTGAAGGTAACAACACCAGCCATTTATATGGATTTCCAATGTTGACGTGAATGTTATTACGTCGGATACTCGAAGTTGACCTGGGGCGGTGGGGTAGCCTAGTGGTTAAAGCGTTGGCTCGTCACGCCGAAGACCGGGGTTCGATTCCCCACATGGGCACAATGTGTTAAGCCCATTTCTGGTGTCCCCCGCCACATGGGCACAATGTGTTAAGCCCATTTCTGGTGTCCCCCGATATTGCTGGAATATAGCTAAAAGCGGCGTAAAACTAAACTCAGTCAGTCAGTCGAAGTTGACCTGGAGTACCCCATAGAATTACAAGAGCCACACAACAGTAACTGTTATCTGCTTGCGCCCGAACGATTGTATATATACGTCGAAAAACCTGTACCAAACTTGATGGATAAAGCCAAATACATCATGCACTTTCGTAACCTGCGGCTGTACTTGTCACTGGGTATGAAGCTAAAGAAAATGCATATAGTTCTTAAGTTGTTAAGTCCTTGAATCGAACCTTACATAAGACTGAACACGGAGTTAAGAAAGCGAGACATTAGTGATTTTGAAAATAATCTTTTCAAACTCATGAACAACTCGGTATTCGGCAAAACTGTGGAAAAGTTAAAAAACGTGTGGATGTGAAGTTAGCTAGTTCTAATGAGGAAGAACGACTTCCTGAAAGAGAGACTTCCATTCTCGCAGATGGGCGAGCGAGTTTAAATTTTGAGTTTTCGAACATTTTTAACACGTTTTTTCATCCTTATCACATATTCGTGACAACTGCATGCTTAATTTTTGTCAAAACCTTTGTCGGGAGGTGGTCACAGTGCAGAGAGTTTCTGGACTTTTCACTAAACTATGACGTATTAATAGTGAGTGAGTGAATTTAGTTTTACGCCGCACTCAGAAATATTCCAGCTATATGGCAGCGACCTGTAAACAATCGAGTCCAGACCATACAATCCAGTGATCAACAGCATGAGCATCGTACTGCGCAAATGGGAACCGATGACATATGTCAACCAAGTCAGCGAGCTTGACCATCCAATCTCCCCAACCCCCACCCACCCCGTTAGTCGCCTCTTACGACAAGCATAGTCTCCTTTTGTGGCAAGCATAACTGTGGCTTTTTTAGATCGGCAAACAAAGGTCTAACAATGAACATTTCGGCACTTATATTAAGGTTTTTACCTTCTTTGTAAGAAAAAAACGAGTGTATAGTTTTAGGTATTGATATTAACTAATTTAAGAAATCCATTTAGTTTCACATAATGGAAAATGTGAATTTTTAGTGTACACTGCCTCTTTAAGTTGACTGACTGACTGAGTTTTGGTTTTACGCCGCTTTTAGCAATATTCAAGCAACATCACGGCGGGGGACACCAGAAATGGGCTTCACACATTGTGCCCATGTGGGGATTCGATCCCGAGTCTTCGGCTTGACGAGCCAACACTTTAACCATTAGGCTACCCCACCGCCCCTCTTTAAGTTAGAGCAATCTATCGTTGTTGTAAAAAACAAGACAAGAACCGCGGAAATCCTCGGAAGCAATAATATCCATTTTACAAGTATTTATTATTGATTATTCAGTTCTTTCTTTCTCACCCACAGACCCATTATATATACACAGTAAAAAAAGTGTTGCACCCCCATATTACAACTCTGGTTACGTTGGCATATCCAAAACACCCGAATAGGATGTTGATGATAATCATTCTGCTAGGACTTGGTGTTGAAGTCATTATGTTTTCGTAGTGAAAACGATCTCTTAAACGTAGCAACCTGCACGCGAATATCATTCTTCATGATTTTTGCAAATTGCATTATGCTCATGTGATGAATCTTGCCTATTAAAATTGTTTGACCTACCTTTAGAATACAGCACCACAAACTTTAAAAATACGTCATAATACCCTTTTACGTAATGTAATGTGATTTTGTTCGAAAACACGTTCTCGAAACAATGCCCTATGACGCCTGCATGGCAACACGGTTGTCTGGCTCAGCGAGTGCGTATAAGCTCAGCTCACTGGTGTTTCATCTCTACGAGCAATGCCATTGCATAAGCCCAACGATGTTGAGAGTTTCCAGTAGTTGTATACCGGCGGATGAGCAATATTTTGCAAGCACCAGTTTGAAATATGTTTCTTTTTTCACTAATACGCTCATATTTATTTGTATTAAGGGGTGCTGAGGTGTTATGTTTTGTGTATTTTGTATTTTGTATTTTTTACATTTACATATATAGTTTTGTCATTCAGTAATTTGCACTATTACATAGAAAAGTGTTTTATAAGTATTTTATTTTTCGAAGCGGTAATAATGCATTACACTAGACACGTCAGTCGTGTTTGTGCCGGTTCGGTCAATGCATTCTTTTTATTATGATTAATTCAAGGGATTAGGGTTAGGGTTGGGGTTAGGATTAGGATTAATTCAAGTGATTAGGGTTAGGATTTAGGGTTGGGGCTGGGGACCTAATGCAATATAGTAGGTACATGTCCGGTGGTTCGGTCAATGCATTCTATTTATTAGGATTATTTCAAAGGGTTAGGGTTAGGGCTGAGAGTTTAGGGTTTAGGGTAAGGGTTAGGGCTGAGAGTTTAGGGGTTAGGGTTAGGGACCTAATCCAATATAGTAGGTACATGTCCGGTGTAATACGTGAGTACCATTTGTTGTTTTTCCTTTTTGCATTTTAATACTTCTTTTTTTTCACACAAAAACGGGAAACCAAAAACTTCGAAAGTACATTATGAAACGGGTTAATGTAGAAATTTTGGGCTAATGGAAATTGGCCTGGAATTTGTAGCACTCAAGCCTCTTTCACACGCAACATAAATTTTGTAAAGTAATGATTCGAAGGCTAACGCACCCTCGTGCCGTCACTACACATGCTCATGTCTCCCTCGTTCATAGTGCGATCCACATTATCCTTACAGTTTTCCCTACATCACTTTTCTGTCACAAAATCACCGATTTATATAAAAGCGCGACATTCGTGCATGCACTGTGAAATCTACGTCTGACGCCTGACGTCAACAACCCTTTTCAGTTTGAGGCATATCGGCTCATTCCACGCCACACGTTAATTTGTAGATTACGGAATGGGACGAGTGTGCCAAATGGCATCGGATCCATTCGGCAATTGTCCGTAGAATAAAATCACGTCTACCCGTAGCATTCGTAATTGTCCGTGACCAATTCGACTCTTTCCGTTCATTTCCGTGACGTCACAGGAATGACTTGATAAATTTGCACATCGTGTAACAGTGTGGACGTAGGAAAACTGATTTCTATGGATAGTCAACTTCTTTATTGCAATGAGTGCGACGTTTCGGTGTAGGTACTAACACCGTTATCAAGCAATCAGTTTTCCTTCATCTTGACAACTTCTAAAAATGCCTCTCAAAGAAGTGTAGACGTAGCTCAGTCGGTTACACTACAAAAATGACTTGGTTTCCTGAAATCTGGAAACCATCCATATACTGGGTAAATGGGGAATCCAGTTGGCTCCATTCACTGAAACTGAGTAACTGAGTTTCCAACTAGATTCCATTTTGGATTCTTTGATTTTTGCATTTCAGTAAATGGAAACCAACAAGAAACTAAGGTTATAGGTTTCTTGTTGGTTTCCATTCCTGGAATTTGCAATTGAAGGTTTCATGAAATGGAAACCAACATAAAACCAGTAAATGTGGTTTCATGTTGGTTTCCTGTGCACTGTTTTGAACTGATTAGCTCAAAATTTGCAAGTATTTGGCATGAAGTTGACCATCCTGCATCCAGTTGGTATCCATTTATTGAAACTGGGTAACATAGTTTCCTAATAGAATCCATAATGGATACTGTAAACTTATAGTTCCGGTAATGGAAACCAACAAGAAACTATGGTCATGCGTATACTGTTGGTTTCCATTCCTGAAACTTAGTTTCGAAGATTAACTACTTTCGTATTATATTACATTATCAGTAATTGCGTAGAATAATTATGAGGTCTTAAAATTCAAAATGAATATGCCTGGGGAAGGTACAGCAGATTTACATTTGAAAGAGTACGTAATTTGTAAGATTGCTTAGATGAACAAGAAGAAAGATTACCCCAAATAGTTGTTGACGTATTGGTCAACTTTATATTTACCTGTTTTTGTTGAACCAAGATGTTGAGTGTGTGGAAAGAACTGGTATTGTCGGACACCAAATCACTATACTGTTAGAATTTTGATATATGTGACACATGAAGTATTTCACTTGTGTTCGACAATAACTGTGAAGTCCGACAAGCTTAGATGAACAATCCTCAGTTATCAAATTTTATCATTAATTTCAAGCTTAATTGTTATTAAATACCAATTATTTATCGTCATTTCATATCATGGGGAATTTTGAAAATCTAAATAGATGGGTGATATTCTACGATGAGTAGCAATTTTCACTGTAGTGATGAAAAAGCTTAAACGTCAAAAAGTGGGAATTTCAGGGAAACTCGGTTTCATTATTTTTGCTTTAGAATGTGAAAGAGTATAAGCATTTAGGAAGTTTAATATAATGTAATTCAAACAATTGTCAATCCGGTACATACATTACGGATTTCTCAACTAGAATAACAGGGAATTGTACTATGAATTGAGGTTGTGAGTAATGTTTACCATTAAAAGCATTTAAAGTTAGTATAAGCTTTGACAGTGAGTTCAAGTACTTGACAAACAATCAGTGTCATGTCATTTGTATGTTGGGGTCTGTGTGTCGGCTTACTTGGGGTTGTCTCGTCTTAACGGGCACCTATTATCAAAATTGAATTGCTGTAGAAGTAATGAGTCGGTAATCCGCGGGCACGCGCGAACTCGTGACATTTTATAAAAGCAATGTTTTTATGTACTGAAATGGTCATGTTCGTCTTTTATGTCTTGAAATAATGTTTTTTTTCATACCTGCCAATCGAAAAGGGATTAGGTATTTGTTATTACCCACAATGCCCCTACACACAATTGCCGCCATTTTGTCACTTGAACTCATGAGAAGTTGTTTTGAAAGTGGGCCAAAGTGTCTCCCGTTTTTAACACAACAAGGAACCCAGCACAATGAATTATTCCTTCGCTTGTCCATGTTATCTGAATCAAGAAAATGGCAATGCGAGTTACACTAGAAGCTTTGGAGGCTCGGGTACGTGAAAACTTGAAAACAGGAGCAGTCGTCGATCGCGGAGGGAGAAAGGGAACATTCCACGACCATGTCAGGTACAGTGTAAATTTCGTGAATTAAGCAATTAGCTCATGTTATGTGTAACGTTTAATGTACATAAGTAGCTAGGACAATAAATATGAAGTTAAAGTTATAGACTTGATGGAACTCGATAAGCAATTGCGTGTCGAAATGTTGGCAAGAGATGGCTTCCTCTACTTAGTCAACTCAAGAACTCGATTGTGATTTGGATCAGGTCACATACGACTAAATGGTTCATTATCGTAATGTTTGAAATATTGTCTTTGCAAGAACAATATGAACCACAAATATATCCAGCAATGTTACGACTCAAGATAACTTCCAAACGTATTTAGAAGTATTCGAATATTATTGCAAGAAATCCAATGATTGGAAGTTCTATTTTAAAGTTTGTTATTGAAAAAACTTTTGATATTTGTTCCACTGAAAACAATTCAGTGGGGGATAGTGAGTCACTTTGCATTTATATGACGGACCAGAATTGGTGCATGGTTAGAGTGAACTTTCAAAATTCTTTGTCTAGTTATTAGAGTTACAAGACAGCCTATGACAAAAAAATCGACAATATTTTTCAGCCAATTTTTAAGACGATATTTATTATGATACTATAATGCTGTTGAGTGGATAAATTGTCAACACAATATTTTTGGAAACTGTTTTTAAAAGGTTTTCAAGTCAGCATAGGATAACCTCGAAAACCCCGAAAATTAGATACCTCGAAAATTTCCCGGTATACGGTAAATTACTGATAATGATATATGAGGTCATTTAAGTTAATCATCTGACGTAAACAATTTTACACTTATAATGTCAAGATATTTAACTCTGAATGAAGAGATGTGGATTTTGTTAGATCCACAAAAGAAGTTTGCAAAGAAAGTTGGATATATAGAACGTTTAATAGGATATGTTGGGGATACATTGATGTACATTTTCAACCTAAAACTATATGAACTTGTTAATTTTGCTTCTTTTGATGTTACAATATCTACACCTTGCAAATTGATATTTATTTTTCTATTTACATGCCTTATTGTTATCAAGAGTACAATATCACTTAGAAAGTTCCTGATTTTCCCCTTAATTTCTATATTTCCAGCATTCCATTTCGGCAGTGTTGGAAAAATTGAAGATGACTGACTGATCTTGACCTGCAACAGGTATGTGTAATCCAAGCCCTTCAGTAAATGATGTACATAAATTTATCCAAATAATGTAAATCCTATGAATCAGAAAAATACATCAAAGTTACACAACCACTATTTTCGTAACTTCCAACTGGAAATATTTTCCACTTATACGCATCTTCTCATATGCAGTTTGCCGGTTTTGGACGAACAAGAGGGTTCGTTCACCTAGAAGACAAAGAAGTGGGAAAGCAGAGGCCTTTGTCCGCAAAGAACAACTAAAGATTCAGATGTATAAGTAACTTCTAACTGTTTTCAATTCTAATGTTACACAGGTTAAAATTTAAGGAAAACCTTATTTGAAAATGTACACTGATATTCCAAAGAACTTTCAAAATAAACACTGCAATGTATAATTAGAAATATGCAGCATAAAAGAGTTTTAAATAGTACATAGTAAAGCGCCAATGTACATAATGTTTTGGTCTGGACATATTTCACCTTGCACACATCAATTAACAATTTAATTACAACACCCCACTAAATAGTAGCTGCAAACACATTGACCTTTTGTACGAAACATGCCCATCCTATATATATGTGCAGAACATTGTGTGTGTACATACTTAATGTACACTGAGGATCATATAGTCCATAATTATGTGTGCAGACAAATCGCTGTCTGCAAGTAGATGGTGTGTAAAATACAAACATGCAGAAACATAAATATGTGAATGCCAACATATCTCTATTGTCAGTTATTGTCATTTTTCTCGCACTAAGTTATATCCTGATCATATATTAATATGCTCTACTCCAAAGACTTGATAATCCGAATGACGAACTAGCCCATGCATACTTTACTATGGGAAATTGTTGTCTTGCACTAAAAGTGCTGTATATTCTTTTGAATGTGATTCATATATGATTGGCTTCTCATTATATTTCACAACGTGTGTAATATTCAGTATATATAAGACTCTTTGTGCCTGCTTGATTACTACAATATAGTCGTTAGTACGAAGTGTTTGAAATTTAGGCCAGTTAGCCTTATTAAAATTCCACCTTGCTGTAGGTGGGTCATCAGTCGGATTTATAGCTGAGAGAATTGTGGGAAATGGTCACTACCACAAAGGTCATCATGGACCGACCATTCAAACTCGTTCTAAATATTTGGGTCTGAGAGTAACAAATGAAGTTCAGAATACGTTCCCGTACCAGGATGTAAATATGTGGCTGATCCATCATTAAATATGCATAGATTAGTTTTAGAAATAAAAGTCTTGGAGTCTTCCTTTATTGTTCATACATATCGGTACTTCCTCACAAAGGGTTATGACCGTTAAAATCACCCATGATAATACAGGGTTTGGGAAGTTGATCAAATAGATCCTGAAGATCGGACTGCTGAAGAACTGAAGAAGGGAAAACATACAAAGAGCAAAGTGTAAAGGTTAACTGTAGAGTAAGACGGACAGCAACAGCCTGAAGATTGCTTTTACGGGGAAACGGGCTATGGATAACACCCTGCCTCACGAGAATAGAAGCACCACCACTGGCTTTATCACCTGGAGGTGAGAATGAATGAAATGAATTGTACAGACGCAATTTAAATCGATGTGTACTTTTCAGGTATGTCTCTTGTAGGCCTCTGCAATTCCATTGTATTAGGTTCATAAAAAAGTTTAGGGAGCTTCAACTGGAGATCGTGAGCGCATGGCAGCCCCACTCCTAGACCCTGTTTGTGAGGAGATATCTCCATATCAAGCGGGTCAAAAAGATTCTGAACCGCCACAGGTGGTGTTATAGGAGAATGTTCTTCTAAATGTTGAAGAGCTCTGGTCTTTCTTCTCAACTTTTTCCCTTTTTTTTGCTTGTGAGGTTAGCAACACTCTGAGTATCTGGACTTGAAGCAATATCTAAAGTTTGTGCTCGTTGGGTCTCCTCAGTCTGAGATGCTGATGAGCGCTGACAATCTTGTGATGATTGAGTCGTGTCATCAAAGGTTAGCTGGGCGTCATTTACCCAAGAGGACTGTCTGACACGAAGTTGAAACAGTTGCTGCTTTTTTAACAGAAGAAGGAGCAGGAGAAGAAGCTGCAGCAGAATATGTGAGACCTGTAGCGGGTCTTGATGGAGCCAGAACCAGGTTTTGGCTTCTATGTATGGGATATTATTAGTGTATATCAATTTCAGGATTTTGTTCTCACATTAAAATTTTGGACAACCTTTCGATGATGCCAGATGCCCACCACTGCAGTTGGCACACTTTATCATTAGTACATTCAGTACTTTCATGAGCTCCACTGCAGCGTGAGCACACTGACTTGCCAGTACAAGACCTCGCACCATGTCCAAGCTTCTGACATTTGTAACACCGGAGTGGATTTGGTACATATGCCTCCACCCCGATATTACAGTATCCAACCTTAAAAATTTGAGAAGGGCAGTAAATCTAAAAGTGAAGAGGTAAGTATTTGTTTTTATGAATGTGGACTATTGTTTCCTGCTAAAGCGTTTAACTGAAGTAACTCCCTGATCTTTCAACTCTGCTACAATCTCTTCTTCTGTCATATCTGAGAGACAACGGGCCCTGTCACTAATGATACCTCTACATGTGTTGAGAGTTTTGTGAACTGAAACAACAACCTGGTTGTTTACAAACTGCTGTAGTCCTAACAGATTAACAGACTGTTACCTTCGTAAGCATTCAATTAAGAGAGAACCGTTCCGGAGACGAGTGACATTTTTTGTCTCTCCGCAGATACCTTGGATACTCGTGGACACGGCAAAAGGATTGATCTTTAAAGGATTCCCATCAGCACTTTCAATGACCAAAAACCTTGGATAGGAATCATTATTTAAATTTGATATCTCTTCATCGGATGAAGAGGTTATGGGACGACGTTTGCTCGTTTTAGATGAAGCAGATTGAGGGTTGGTAGCCATAGTGTAATAATATTATTCAACAACCCTGCTCCCTACCCGCCGTGTGTCAACAAAGACGATATTGCAGTGGAAACCAGACTGCAACACCAGGGTTACTCCAGAACATACAGACTTGAAAAGCCATGACATCTTAAAGAATATGTGCCAGACTGGTTAGGCCCAATTCAAAAGTCTATATAACCAGATTGGCCCATGCGCCACTGCCTTGTGGCATATGACTCT